CACCGTTAATGGTCGCCCGGGGAGTTTGCTTGAAACATAAGGGCCTAATCCTACTTATCCAACTGAAACGAGGTACACAACGTGCCATAAAAACCACGTCATTAATTCGACGCTTCTAAGGGGTGTTTCCGGATAGGGTTTCGTAGGTCAGTTTTTTATATTTATTTAAGTATTTGAAATATATACAAAAAATCTTAAAGAGAAGATTCCTTTGTTCAAGTTGTCCTCGCCAATTACTAGCCAATTTCCTACAGGGCTTTAATCGTTTCAGCATTCAAGCATCAAAAGTGCCGATCCATTCTTTTGGATATCAGGGACAGTAGATCAGCTCGCCCGTCCACCTCAGGGCTGGCGAGGAATGAACGCCCTGCTGCCGTCCTCGCGCACCTGAAACAGCCGTTCGCCGTTATCCGGTTGTGTTGTGATGATCTGATGGTCTGCGGCGAGGTAAGCCAGCGGCATCGGGTCGTCCTTGGAGAACGCTGTGACGATAATCGTGCGCTGTGGGTCAAAGTGCCGGCCGCTGGTGGTGTCCAGCCAAGCCATGAACGCGGCGCTGTCGCCTTGGCGCGGGAAGTTTTGGGCCTGGCTGACGTAGTAAAACGCGTTGCCTTGGTTTTGCAGGTACAGGGGCACCTTGTTGTCGACTTCCAACATGACCATCTGCCATTGATCCCACGGCGCGGTTTTGACCGCCTCGGTGCGCACATCCTCGGCAAAGCGGGTGACGCCGCCATTGCCGTTGCTCCAGGGGTAGGCCACGCCGAGCACACCGAGCATCACCACGGCGGCGATGGCGAAACCCTTGTGCCAGCGCGTCCCACTGGCCGGCTTTTTCGCCAGGCGTTCGCTCAACCACCAAGCGGCCAACAGCTGGGCGAATGGCACCAGCGGCAGCACGTAGTAACTGCGTCGGCTGCCGCTGGCGGTGAAAAACACAAATAACAGACCCAAGCCCCAAACCAGCCAGCGCACATTGGCAGGCGTATGGCGCCAGTGCCGCACGGCCAGCCACAGACCCAGCAGCCAGCACGGCGTCCAGGGCAGGGTGTAGGCGGGCAGGTAGATCAGGTAGGTGTAGATCGGCCCCATGTGGTCGAAGGGATCGAAGAAGCGCACCACGTTTTCCCGGAACACCAACGCCAGGCCGCTCTCGCCGTAAGTCGCTGCGCCGTAGAGGTGAGATAACACGAACGGCACCGCATATGCCGCGCCGCCAATCAGTGCGGCCAGTAACAAGCGCAGGTTGAGGTGCTGCCTGTAGCGCTGCTTGCTGAGCAGGTGCGGCAGCAACACCAGGCCTGGCAGCACCACGCCGATCAAGCCTTTGAACAGCGACGTCGCTGCCAGCAGCAGGCAGAACACGGTGTAACGTCCCAACCGTGTGTCGTCCGGCCCACGCCAGTACCACCATACGGCGGCGAGGACGCCGCACAGAGTTAGCACATCCGCCGTGGCCACCCGCGCCCAGAACAGGAAGTAGAACGTGGTGGCGAGCATCCAGCCCGCGATCAGACCGGTGCCTTTGCGGAACAGGCGCTCGCCGAGCAGGTAGATCAGCCACACGCTCAACCACGCGGCGATGACCGAGGGTAAGCGCAGCGACCACGGGCCCAGGCCGCCCATCAGGTGCGCCATGCCGGTGATCATCCAGTAGGAGGGCAGGGGTTTGTCGTAATACGGCGCGCCTTTGAGGTACGGGTCGAAGTAATCGCCGCTCTGCAACATTTGCAAGGCAATGTTCGCCCAGCGAGTTTCCGGCCCCCATAGGTCACGCGCGCCGAGCCCGCACAACAGCAACAGGGCACAGACGCCGAGCAGTAACAGCAAGGCGCCGCGTTCGCTGCGAGGAAAGACCGGCATCAGGGCACCTGCGGGTAAAGGGTCAGTTCCAGATAGCCTTTGTTGTAGCGTTTACCACCCAGCGGCAGTTGCCCAGCCTCGGCCATTTCGCTGGTGCTGCCGACCCGCAGCAGCACGCCGACCGGGCCGTGACGGCGGGCCTCTTTGAGCCAGTCCTGAACCTGCGCCACGCCCACCTTACGCTGCGCGGCATCGGGGTATTGCAGGCCGTAACGCAATTCGCCCTCGGTGTTGTACAACGTCACGTCAGGGCGTTGCAGGCGCCAGGCGAGGGCGCTGGCGCTTTCCAGTTGGTTGCTCAGCAAGGCGCTGGTTTGCTGCAGTTCGCCCAGGTGTTCTTGCACGAATTGGTCGGGCATTTCATTGTCGGTGATCAGCGCCGGCATGCCGGCGGGCAGCAGTACCACCAGCAGGCCGATGCCCAGGGTCGGCATGGCCCACAGCGTCAACGGGCGGAAGGCTTGCAGCAGGTTGGTCAGAATCCACACCAACAGCACGATAAAGGTCAGGGACAGGCTGAACATCTCGGCATGGCTATTGCCGTATAGCGGTCGGGCGATTTGCAGGTAAATCAGGCCGATCATCGCCGCCATGCCAATGGCGAAATTAAGCAGGCCGTTAAGGCAGATCGACCGGGCTTTGCCTTGGCTGATCAGGTCGGTCAAGGTGTGCCCCATGAGCAGGGCGAGCGGTAGCAGGCACGGCATGATATAGGTCGGCAGCTTGCCGTTGCTGAGGCTGAAGAATCCCAGCGGCAGCAGTAGCCACAGGGCCAGGAAGCGAATGGGGGCCTGGTTTTTTTCCTGCCAGGTCTTGCGCAGGGTGTTGGGTAGCAGCCCCGCCCAGGGCAGGCACGCCACAGCCATGATTGGCAGGAAAAACCACCACGGCCGCACATGCTGCGCATCCTCGGCACTGAAGCGGCGAATATGTTCGTTCCAGAAAAAGAAGCGCCAGAAATCCGGTTCCTGCACATGAATCGCCCACACCCACGGCAGGCACACCAGCGCCGCCACCAGTACCGCCAGTGGGCCGTAGCGCAGCAATTCCCCCAGGCGCCGTTGCCAGAGCATATAGGGCACGGCGATCAACACCGGCAGCGTCCAGGCCAGAAAGCCCTTGGTCATAAAGCCCATGGCGCAGGCAAGCCCCACGATGGCCCAGGCGCTCAGTCGGCCAGGCAGTGTTTGACTGTCGAGGGCAAACCACAACGCGACCAGACTCAGGTTGACCCACAGCGTGAAAAGCGGATCGAGGTTGGAATACCCGGCTTGGCCGGCGATCAAGCCGAAGCTCAGGTAGAGCAGTGCACAGGCGAAGCTTTTGCGCGGGTCATTCCACAGGCGGCGGGCGAGCAGATAGGCCAGCAACACACTCAGGCCGCTGGTCAGGGCCGAGGCGATGCGCACGCCGAACAGGTTCTGGCCGAACACGGCTTGGCCCAGGGCGATCAGCCAATAGCCTCCGGCGGGTTTTTCGAAATAGCGCATGCCCATAAAGTGCGGTGCCACCCAATTGCCGCTGAGCAGCATTTGCTGGCTGACCTGGGCGTAGCGGGTTTCATCCGGCGTCCACAAACCGTGCAGGCCCAAGGGCAGCAGATAAAACCCTGCGAAGGCCAATAACAGCAGGTGCAACGGTTTTATGCGGGGCATGGCAACGTCGCTCCTTGACGTTTTATGGAGACCGTTTGAACTAATAAAGTCATAGCGGAAGAACCAAAGCGTTCACTAAGTGGCGAGAAAGAGTCATGGCGTCCTGATTTAAAGACGCAATTCAACATGCCAGAACAGGGCTGTCTTTTTGCTGAACACGCTGTGGCGGTCGTTGTACTGTGCTTAAAGTTGCTTGAGGGCAGCGGGCCAATCGGGGTTATTAACAATGCCCAGGGTTTTGAACTTACCGTTGGGCAGAACTTGCACGAACAGTGCACTGCCGTACTCGGGAAACCGCGCACGGGGGTAGCCCAGATGGGTTTCAAAGTCGGCGATGCAGCCGCTGTGCGTGACGAACACCAGGTTGCGCCCGGGCTGTTTATGGCTGAGCAATTCCTCGCCCATGGCCGCGCCGCAGACGGCTTGCTGGCTGGCGGTGACGTCGGTCTTGTCGAACATGAAGCGGGAGGTCTGGGCGGTGCGAATGGTCGGGCTGGCGAGCACGTCGCTGCCTTCCATGCCCAAGGATTTAAAGGCTTTGCCGAGTTGTTCGGCGCGTTGGCTGCCTTCAATCGTCAGGCCTTCGACGGGGCCCAGGCACGGGTTGCTCGAACGGTCGCAACGCTCTTCGTGGCGCACCAGCACAATCAGATCGCCATCGCGCCAGAGCGGCAACACCGATGAACTCAGCAGGCGATTGCCGACTCCCAAGTCCCGTGGCGATAAGGGCCAGTTCATGAAAGCAGTCACCAGCAAGGCAACTACCGTAATGCCCAGCCAGAGCGCTGACAAGCGCTTGAGAAAGTGTCGGCGTGCGCGTGGTTTGGTCAGGGTCAGGTCAACCACTTCATTCACCTTGGGCGCTGTCGCCAGCGTTTTATTTATTGGGCGCGACATGTTGGCGAGTGCCTTGAGTGGAGCCAGAAGCTGTCACAGAGCGGCTGTCTTTTCGCTGAACATGGAGCGTTTAAAAGTTGCCAGGCGTAGCAACTAACAAGTTGCCGACGGATGACGCTTGGCCGGCAATTTAAAGAGTGACGGGTGGCCGTCCGGTGAAATCCATGTGAAAAATTTGCGTGGGCTCGGACCGCAGCCGTTATCCTCGATGGCCACCCATCAAACGAGTGCTCCCATGTTGCAGGTGCAAGGCGTGTTTAAAAGCTATGTCACTCCTCAGGGCCCGTTGACGGTGCTGGCCGGGTGTCGATCTGCACCTGGCCGCACGCAGCAGCCTGGCGTTGATGGGGGAGTCGGGCAGCGGCAAGAGCACGCTGTTGCATCTGGTGGCCGGGTTGGATCGAGTCGATAGTGGCCGTATCCAGATCGGCGAACAGCGCCTGGACCGGATGAGCGAGGCGCAACTGGCGCACTGGCGGCGTACGGACATCGGCCTGGTGTTTCAGCAATTCAACCTGATCGGCAGTTTGCGCGTGGCCGACAACCTGGCATTCCAGGCGCGGCTGGCGGGGCGTTTCGATGCCCATTGGCAGGCGCAATTGATCGAGCGCCTGGGCCTGGGGGATTTGCTGACGCGTTACCCGGAGCAACTCTCGGGCGGCCAGCAGCAGCGGGTCGCGGTGGGGCGTGCGTTGGCTTCGCGTCCGCGGCTGTTGTTGGCCGATGAGCCCACCGGCAACCTCGACGAAGCCACCAGCGACGAGGTGCTGCAACTGATGCTCGACCTGTTGCGCGACAGCCCCACCAGCCTGTTGATGGTCACCCACAGCCCACGCCTCGCTGCACGACTGGATCGCCAGGTAGTGCTGCATCGCGGCCAGGTCGTAGCGGCGGGAGCAGTCTGAGATGGCGGTGTTCTATTGGACGTTGCGCGCCTTGCTCAGTCATTGGCGTCGCCATCCCCGTGCAGTTTTTCAGCGTGCTCACCGGCCTGTGGCTGGCCACCGCGTTATTGACCGGGGTGCAAGCCCTCAACAGCCAGGCGCGCGACAGCTACGCCCGCGCCAGCCAATTGATCGGCGGCGAACCCCAGGCCAGCCTCGCGATGCCGGACGGCGCCAGTTTTCCCCAGGCACTGTTTGCCCAGTTGCGCCGTGCCGGGTGGCCGGTGTCGCCGGTGGTGCAGGGCAGGGTGCAACTTCAAGGGCATGCAGACCTGCGCCTGCAATTGATGGGCATCGACCCCGCTGTCGCTGCCGGGCAGTGGCGCGGTGGCGGGGCAGCGCTTGAGCCAGGCGCAGATGCTGGCGTTCTTCGCGCCGCCGGGCCGCACCTGGGTCGCCCCGCAAACCTTGCAGGCCCTCGGGCTGCAAGCGGGCGAGCAACCCTTGACGCTGAACGGGCAGCGCCTGCCGCCGTTGCAGGCCCAAGCGGACATGGCACCTGGGCTGTTGCTCACGGATATCGCTTTCGCCCAGCCGTTGCTGGGGATGCCCGAGCGCTTGTCACGCCTGTTGCTGGACAACGCCTTCGCCGCCGACCACCCCATGCCGCCCGCCGGGCTACAACTCAAGCAGGGCGAGGACAACAACCTCGCGCGGCTGACCGACAGTTTTCACCTGAACCTCGACGCACTGGGCTTTTTGTCCTTCGTAGTCGG